CGGCAGCGCGGCGAGGGGTGAGGAGATAAAGCCCCCCCCCCCCGCCATGCACGGCTACCGCAGCTTCCGCCTCCTCTCTCGGCTGCGTAGCAGCCCCAACCGCCGCTTCCAGAACCTTCCTCCCCGCTAACGCTTCCTCTGCGGAAAGACAGACAGACAGCCCCCTACCCGCGGCGCACCGACCGGCAGCCAGCAGCGGCACCCGGACCTGCGTTGGCAGGGGCTCAACCCCCTTTCGCAACGCCCAGACCCGGAAAAATTCACTCCATCCGCATAACCAAACCTGTCACCCTCCTGAAAAGCAAACTCTCAATTTTCCCTTTTCACGTACCATATTCTTCATGGTTTACGTATTCCCGCTCGACAGTACCGTACAACTGGTCAGTAATGGCTGCCTTAACTGTTACGTAATTTGAAATTCAGCTCCACGTAGTGCTAGCGCCCTCCTTCTCCAGCCCAGGCTCGCTTCAGAGGTTTTAGTTTTTTTTTTAAAAAAAAAAAAAAGGCTTGAATCTGGAGCTTAAATATCTCCAAAGGGACAGTTCTGTATAACGCCCCTACGTGTTTTTATCACGTAATAAAAAGTCATCAACTCCGTTAGTAATGGCTGTCTCCGAAATGAGCCGAAGAAGCCGTCGTCGTCGAGCTTATCCGCTTCGGCAGTCGCCGGAAAAAGCCGAAAGGGGAATGGAAGCCCGTCCGACTCGCTTCGGCAATTTCCGGAATTTGCCGAAGCAGCCGAGAATGGCGCTCGCAACCCGCTCGGCAATTTCCGGAGAAAAAAAGACGCAGCAGTCCTCGACCATCCAGCCCGTTCGGCAATTTCCGACAACGGAAGAGACTCGCAATGCGCGCCCGAGCGGAGCCGAAACGGCCCCCGTCGCCACTGGCACGGCGTCGCTTTTTTTTTTCCGGAAATTGCCGAACGGCCCCGAAGGCTCAAAGCGAGGGGTTATAATTAGCCGAAGGCAGCCTCGGAGCGGCCCCCCCGCCCCGCTGCCCTCCCCGCGGCCACCTGTGGCACTGGCAGGGGGGGGGGGGGGGCAGAGGGAGACGGGGCCCCCCAAACCCCC